AGCTGGATAGTCTGGTTAAGGCAGGGATGGACTCTTCCCTATACAGGGGGACAATCTTTGACGTTAGCTGCCAGACACAGGTAAAAGGGAATTTAATTAAAATAAAGCACATACTACGAGAACTAAAATTTTGCAAAACAAATTCGCAACAATATTTGTCAAAATTTGCAAACGATGTTCAGCAAAGTAATTTACCAATGATATTTTGCAAACATCTCCTAAGACAGACTTGGGGAGCAGCCGCTAACTTAAGGGAACCCCGCTGCTCACGCTCTGATGTCTCCCACAATCCCACCTCCCTCCGCCACAGACTTAAATTTCCTCTACATGAGATTCACTTAAAACTGCTCTTAAGCATTCAAAGCTCTTCCGACCCACACCAGAGCCCTAGACCCAACTCGTTCCATGGTTCTTCCCTGATTTCCACCGGTAGGAAAAGTTGCCCGCAGCGGGTGGTCTTCCACCAAGACAATCTTTTAAATCTCCTTACCTTCCCCAAAGAGCCGCTTTCGTGCCGATTTGGCGGGAGGGGGGTCCAGACAGATGGCCAGTCTTTTCACGTTTGGAAAGGATGAAAAATGCTACAGGGGGAAAAAACATCCCAGTGATTCTTTTTTTTTTTTTTTTTTTACTCCGCCGTTCGGCGCAGAAGGGCTCCCAACCTCATTGGCCCTGGGAGATCCACCACGTGGCTCGGGATGAAGGGCACGTGACCTATTTTCTCCCAAATCCCTGGGTTTGCAAGAAAGGGGGATGCACCCACTGCTGATGTTCTCGTCATTTCATGGGCTTTGATTTATTTATTTATTTTTATTATTTTTTTAAAGGCCACTGAGTAAATCTGGATGCCTCAAGGCGATGAGGGTGAACCAGCCAATGCTTCCAACATGAAGGAGGAAGGAGCTCGGCATGAGATGAGCACCAGTGCACTGCCTGTGTGCAGGGGGAAATTTGGGCATGCTTTGTAGGGTGCCTGCCCACCCACTCCAGAGACCGAGCCTCTGGGAGGGAGAGGAGGGCTCTGCTAAACCCTCCATCTCAGAGGCAGCAGCACAGTGGGAAGGACCAGGCTGAAGCCCTGCCTGCACATCCCAGAGTTCTCCAGGTGGGCATCTCCTGCTCCCACTGCCCCGTGGCCATGCCAGCCTCAAAGAGCATTTCAATATGTGCCCCCATAAACACTCCCCAAGCCCAAAACACAGCACAATTCTGGGGACGTTCTGCCCCATAAAGGTCCCTGAGACCTTGCAGAGCAAGGAAGACCAAGCCACAGCTCCCAACTCCTGATTTTGACTGGTACTGCAAGTTTCTCCTTGTCCCAGTTCTAAGCCACCACATCCCAGTTTTGGTCCACAGGCCAAGGATGTCTTGTCCTTTACTCAGTGCAGGTACCAGCCCATCGGTGCCCAGACATTCAGTCTGGGGAAAGGAAAAGGAACTTTTGAGCCCCAGACATTCTTGTGTTTTTTTCCATCATATGTCAAGCCCACAGGTTCACAGCAGTTAGAAGCTGCATTTTTCTGGCAACCCGAGTCTCCACGTGGCTGTGCCTACCCCTGGCTGTGCCACCGTGCCATGACAGTGATACACCCGTTCATCTCCTCTGCCAGTGGAAAGCTCCAAGGGAATCTACCTCTGGCATCAGCCCTTGGATGTCAGTGATGTCACTTCTGCAGAGCAGCCACCCCATCACCCAAGGGCTCAAGCCCTTCTTATCCAGGCATAACACTTAAGGCTTCTTGGAGATCCAGCTGAGCTTGGGCTTTGGTGAAACAGCCATGGCCACCTCCATCCCTTCTTAGCGCTACCACCGTCCCAGATGTTGGTTCTTCCTTGCAGATGTTCCCCCTCCACAGCTCTGCACGGGGATGGGAAGGCATCAGGAGCACAGCCCCTAATTCCAGGTTCTTCCCAAGGATGGACTGCCTCACCATGCTGTTCCCAAAACCGCAAGTACAGCCAAAAAAATGCCCCAAAAAGGGTAAAGAAGTGCAGAGTTTCACCCAAATCCTCTCTGGCTTGGAAGGTCGTGCTTCTCCAGCTACCAGCCAGAGCAATTTAATTCCAACAAATATCGATTGAGGGAGAAACTTTCCATACTCAGATGCAAACTAGACCCAGCTCAAAGCATTCAGCTTGCTGTTTCCCTTTCCCATATTTTCCAATCGCCAAGGTGCAAAGGGAGAGATGAAACCTGAGCAACCCGGTCTAGTGAAGGGTGTCCCTGCCCACGGCAGGGGATTGGAACCAGATGATCTTTAAGGCCCCTTCCAACCCAAAACATTACACGATTCTGTGATTCTGTGACCGCCCCCCCCCACCTTCCAGCCCCGTCCTCCTTCCCCAGCGATGGATGCCCAGCTAAAGCTGGCTCCCCAGTAATCTTCCCAATAATTATATAATAGAGAGCCAGGCGGATAAATCATTTCAGGCCGCTGTGCCGATAGAAAGCAAGCTGGATTAAAAGATCAGAACAAGCAATACTTAGATTAAAATGGTTTGTTATTTTCAGCTGCGGGGAAAAAAGATCTGTGGCTAAAGCACGGAAGACGTGAAGGGAAGGCACATCATCTTCCTTTCCCCAAAACCCAAGCTTTTTACGTATTAAGCAAGACAAATTCTAAGTTTCTAACCTAAAATGAGGTTTTGCTTCCCAAGGGGCCAAAAAAATACAATTTGGCAGTTTATATGGCATTTTAGCTAAAGCTTAAGAGCGGCGCATAGATGCTTCAAGTTATATTTCGCCCGTGTTAAGACATCAGACCCCTTAAACCAGGAGAGTCAGCGCACAGCTTGGCAGATAATGTCACTACCTGCTAAAAACACGACTCCTGGCACTATGGGCAGCAACACCTTTGCCTTGTCCTGTGCCTCCCCGCGCCCCCGAGCTGATGGCAGGCAGATGCCACGCTTACCGGCAGCGGAGAGGTGGCGGTGGCAGCTGGGAGAAGCCCTTCAGACAGCGGGGCAGCTCTCTGCAGGGACCTATATGTTGTCCCCCTGGCCCCCAGCAAGGTCGGTGGCCTGGGCTGCCACACTCTGACTGATGGCTTTGGAAAGGCGTGAAGGGGAGGCAGGAAAAAACAGGGTGAGAGCGGGAGCTGGCGCTGGGGCTGAGCCCTCCGCAGGGCATGGCGCTCACCAGCCGCCTCCCGGATCGATGAGTGAGCTCTGCTCGTTCACCTTCAAGTTCAGATTAAGCAGAAGGGTCAAACTGGGAAATGGTTTGCCACTGGAGAGCACGGCCCCATCACCACGCTGCAGCCTCGTGTCACAGCCTTTTCCCTGGCTGGAATAGGCAATTCCCACCCCAGCACCCCACAGCATCTCCAGCTTCCAGCATCAGCAGTGACCGCTCACCCCACCACATGGATGGGAGATGGAGTAGCAGTAGTTTTCCCAGTGTAAAGTGGTCTCCAAAAACAGACTCCAAGAATACACTTGAGTTGGAAGGGATCCACAGGGATCGAGTCCAGCTCCTGGCCTGGCACAGGACAACTCCAAGAATCCCATCATGTGTTCTTCCAGGTGTCCCTCCCACCTGGAGTTTTTCTATAAAATAGTCATGGTACCACACACAGAGTCTCAGTCTTGAGTTCCGAGGATGAAATCCCAAGGGGCAAGAAATCCAAGACACAGCATTGAGGGGGGCTTGGACAGGCACCAGGTTTCTCTCCCACCTGTGGATACGGGAGAGGGGCCCGGACACAGGCCTGGGAGAAGAGATGGGATGTTGGACAGGGATCATGAGAAGGTAGAAAAATTATGTCAGATAACTTCCTGGAGGGAGGTGAGAGCTGCAGGATGTTATGATGTTCACCCAAATGAACAATAACTTTAATAACCACTTATTGCAAAAAAGTGTCTTCACTAAAGCCAGAGAATAAAATGCACTTGGCTGGACAGTTTGGAGACTTGGTCCCAGACTGGACACTCAGCTGCCCCGGAAAAGACATGTCCCAGTTTTCCTGGGGTTGGTGATGGGGAATACCTTCCCCAAGACTTGCTATGCCAGTAAGCAGGGAAGAGACAGGGACCTCCAGGGATGCACTCCCAAGTGCATCCTTCCTTCAGCTCATGGCTCTCAGGCCACCCTCCACCCCAAAAATCCCTCTACAGATGGATGTGTTTGTAAGAGGATGCCCATAGCAAGCTGGAGCTCCAGACAGAGACCTCATGACCGGACATAACCAGTACCCCCCACATCACCAGAACACGGATAAACCTCCTCACAGTTTTTTTGGCAAGTTCTACCCTTGCTACACCTTACTGGGTCACCTGCGGCTCCTCTGAGAAACCTCCCCTTTTCTAAAACACACCATCCTGTCGCAGGTGTAGGGTGTTGCTCTGGCCAGTCTCTCCCAGGGTTTTATGTGCAGAAAACAGGAATAACTGACACTTTTAAAAGGAAAAACGGAGAAAAGAGAGGTGGATTTGTCTGTCTCTACAACATTTCTGCTTTATGGAGCTGTCTTCTCCCCCGGAGACGTGTGTCCTCCTCTTCGCTAATGGAAAATGTTGCCCCGCCATCCATTCGTGCCAGTCGATGCCTGGGACAACACGATGGCCCCGGGCCAACACGGATCTATTTTAGTCACAAAAGCAGAGTGGCTGATGAAAATCACCCTGCCTATGCACTTCCCAGCTTAGCTCTTTAGCTGGTTTTAATGGAATGACCAACGTGGTGGAAAGCAGGCAGCGAAGGCAGAGACAGCAGGATGGGAGACCTGCAGAGATGCATGAGAGAGGCCCAGCATCCTCCCTGTTTTATAGCCTAAGGGAGCTGCAAAGATCCTTTCCAGGATTTTCCCAGAGAAGCTGTGGCTCTCCCATCCCTGGAACTGTTCAAGGCTGCGTTGGACGGGGCTTGGAGCAACCTGGTCTAGTGGAAGGTGTCCCTGCCCATGGCAGGGGAGTAGAACAAGACAGTCTTTAAGGTCCCTTCCAACCCGAACCATTTTGGAATGCTCTGATTTTGAAAGAGACTGAACTGACCTTACCTTACCCTGCAGGATGGCCTTGAGCTCCAGAGTGATTCCTGGGAGGGTCTGGCTGCACCAGAAAAGGGCATGCTGAGTGCTGGGGTGGGGAACCCAGCAGTCCACGGCCTGGGCCTGCAGACCAGGACATGGCAGAGGTTAGCACGGCACAGAGGAAGGACACCCAACAGCTGCTTAATGTGAATTTCAGAGAGAAGTAAAACATAGGTTGGGTTTAGGAGTGGGGGCAAAATGATCAGGAGCATCACCTCCAGGTTGTGTTTGAGGCAGGTAAGCCCCACCTAATATTTTTCTCTACATTCCAAACAGGTTTGGGTAGATCCTCAGCGTCCATCAAGTGAAATCATCCAAAGCGCTGCTCTGTGGAGGAGGGGATGCCTGGGACCCCCCAGGTGAACACAGCCCAGTGGTCCTGCTGTGGAGGGGGAGCACGAGCCAGGGGTGTGCTTCACCCAGAAATCCAACTGTGATGGAAATCATCCAGCACGTTTCAGTGACATGGGGTGCCAGGTTATTTTTATTGCTGTATTTGTGCTGCTGCTCCCAATAAGTTAACTGGGGCGTGCACTACCCGTCAATACAATCAATGGAGCAGCCTGAGCCGCTAATAAATCGAGTGCCAGAGGGCAGGAAAGTCTCTCCATTGCCTAAAATATTCCCTAGGCAGTAGGGTGGGTGAGCAGCAGACTCCACTCCTTGCTTGGACTTGGCGCTGCTCTTAAATGTGCCGAGGCAGTTTGTGTATTAACAGGGAAAATCTTCCTCTTCCTGGTGACTCAGCAACCTCTGTGCTCGTCCCCAGTGACCTGGGCACTTCCTTGCTATGGGAAGGAGCCTGGCAGTGGGAGGGGAGCCCATGGGACCTCCTGAGGTCAGTTTTCAGTCCTGCTGATGCTCACAGCAGTGTCAGCACTAAGATCAGAGCAGGTTGCCCAGGGCTTTATCCCTTTGGGGGTTGAAAACCTCCAAGGATGGAGACTACACAGCCTCTTTCAGTGACCAGCTGTCCTCAGAATTCCATGTTTTTTCCCTAAAACATCCTATAGGTCTCTCCATGTCCTCCAAGGTAGCGGCTGCGTCCCCAGCTGGTGTCACCCGCAATCAGGACACATCCCAGGACGGACCCTGAGATTCCTCAGGGTTCACTCCTCTCCACTGAACCTACACAAGCCAAATAAATTTTGAATCCCACTAACTGTCACAATTGTAACATCCTTCCCCGTGGACTCTGGCCAAAAAAAAAAAAAACAAATTGGAAGAGATGGAAAACCCAAAGTGTGACTCACCGTTGGAGGAGCCGCAGGGACAGGCCAGGGATCCCGTGGGGCTGGGGGTCAGCAGTGGAGGTGGCAGGGAAGGATCTGGAAGACAGCACATCTCAACAGCCTGAGGTGCCCAGCCGGTTCCCCCCCCCCTCCCCAGAATGCACAAGAGCATCCTGCCAGCACTGCTGCTGTGGCCGAGGGCAACATGAGGAACGGGGAAGCACAAAGGCAAATCAGCCCGGAACAGAGGAAACCTCGGTAATTGTTTTATTCCAATCGGTACAAATTGCTGGTCACTGATTTCAGGATTGAGAAAAAGGAGGAGGAATCCTGACCATTGCACCAGCTTCATCAACATTACCCATGAACAAGGGGGCTCAGGCAAGGATCCAGGATGCTGGAAGGACAAGGTGTTGCAAGGAAACCCCAAGCCTTCTCCCCACTGCCAGTGTGGGCATAGAGCAACAACCCACAGCCCACGAATTCACGGGGGAAGAGATTGTATTTGTCTTTCAGGTCATAGGTTTGAGTTTATCCCAAGCCAAGGCTTAAGCAACCAGGGAATGCAGCATTAAGGAACGCCAGCAGTTTTCTTAATCAAATCTTGGTCCATCTCCCAGCAGCTCTGCTCCTTCTTATGTTACACTCCTTCCACTCTTCCACCACAGGCTGCAGGGTGAGATCCCAGCCATGACCCCATGATCCTGAACCCACAGTCCTGAACCCACGTGGTGTTCCCTGTGATTAAGGTGCAGGTCACCTGCACCTGTGTCTCCCAGAGGACTGGTGCCATGCTGGGACAACCTCACTTCCAGCACGGGTAAGACTGATCCTCAGGTAACCCACAAGTTGCCTCCAAGCAGAAACCTCAGCACTGCAAAGCACATTTTGGCCATGGCAGCTTCAGGCATCCTCTGACATCTCCAGTGGGGTTGCTTCCAGAAGCTTCTGATGGGCACAGCCACCCAGCAGACGTGGATGTGGATCTGTGTCAGCTGCCTGTGTCCCCACATCGCACAACAGTGGCTCCTTGCTCATCACTGACCAGTGCAAAACACTCAGGAACTGTCTTAAAAGGCATCATGAGATGGACAAGAAACATTTGGGCTGCTGGTGGACCAACATCCTCCCTACCAACTCCCAAATCCTCTCTCCAGCATGGCCAAAGCCCCTGCAGTTTGTATCTGCCCTGAGAGTACAAGTCAAGGGGTAAATTATATTTTTTTCCTGGTTGTTCTCTTCAGTGAAGCACGCACTGGTGCTGGGAGAGGCACCAGCAAGCTTATCCCACCAAAAGCTTTTCATCTCCTGATCCATGGTGGTGGAGAGCACGGCTCCATCCCTGCATGGCCAGCTTGCCTGCTGGCTTTCATGGACTATGTCCCATCAGGAAATTTGGTCAGCAGTGTTCACAAGAGTCACTCAGGATGCTGAAAGAGTAATTTCTGAACAGCAGAACATCCAGATCCCAGCAAATCCCACCTACTGCTTCCAGGTAAAAGCAGCTGAGGATATAAGGAATTTAGTCCTGGATGGGAAAGGAGGAAACACAGAGACATGGACAAACCTTCTACAAAGAGGGTTTGACCACATGGCATCAACAGGATGCCAAGTTGAAGGGACTGTGTGTGCTTTCTGCTCATGCTCAGCCTCCAAGGTGAGCTCACAGGTACTTCCATGGGGGAGCAGGTCCCATGCCTGGTCCTACGGGACTGTGAAAAATCCCTGCTTTTGCTCAGGAACGGTAGGATGCCCTATTCTACCATCCCAAATACCAGCAGGTTTTCCCATATCCCCTTCTCCATACCACTCCCACTTCCCAAAAATACCAAAGCCTGTTCCAACACCCACCCTGCCTCTCCTACAAACTCAAGGCTTCAGCTTACCCTCACCAGTGAGTTCTTGGCTGTTTATGCCCATTGGGAACCTTCCTTGGGATGTCTGGGATCATTGGGTACCTGTGTGATGTCCAAGCTCCACAGAAAGCACAGAGAGCTAGGAGCTGACCTCTGGCTTTGCTGTGACTCTCCAGGGAAAATTCCAGGTCTTTGGGAAGAAATGCTGTGCAGTGGTGAGGGATGGCTGGGATGGGATGGGGATGGGAATGGGAATGGCTGGGATGAGATGAGATCAGATGAGATGAGATGGGATGGGATAGGGATGGGATGAGGTGAGATGGGAATGAGAATGGGATGGCAATGCTGGGATGGGATGAGATGTGATGGAATAGGGATGGAATGGGGACAGGGCTGGGACAGGATAGGATGGGATGGGATGAGATGGGGTGGGGACAGGATGGGATAGGATGGAATGAGATAGAATGGGATGGAATGGAGACGGGATGGGGATGGGGCTGGGACAAGATAGGATGGGATGGGGATGTTCTCCCACCGTATCACCAAACCCTGAGCTATAGCACACCCTATAGACAGGAACATTAGTGAGATGGCTCCATCTGCGTTGCCCCCCCCAGGCTGCCAGCCCCCTTCATGTTGGAGAGGACCCTGCTTCCATCCATTTGGGATGCAGCAGGATCTGCTTTGTTCTGCTGTTTGGGGTTTTCAGCGCCGCCGCTCGCGGTGCAGGGGAGAGAACGATCCTCCCCTGACCTGCGTTCCCATCATCCGCCTTCCCGGGTGTTTTACGCAGACAGAGGCAATGATTTTAATGTCCCAGTGAACAAGCTGTCGGGATGCATCAGCCTCAAAGGGCAGACCTGATTCAGAGCTGGCTTCTCCTCCCAGGCGCTGCCTGGGCAAGGAAAACCAATTCCAGCTCTGCGTGCGCACATACACACACACACACGTGCCACTGGTGCCCGTGATTTTCCAGCCTTTTAAATAAAAATCCTTGAAAACCCCACTGGTGAAGAGGGGGAGGCAGCGAGGCCGGGGCGGGGGTCGGGGATGAGGTGCCGCCGGGCAGGCAGAGCGGGCGGCCCCGGGGGCAGAGCCGGAGTGACGTGATGGGACCTGAGCGCTCCGGAGCCATCAAGAGCCTGGGCAGAGATGAGCTGAGAAAAGCCATGAGCGGAGCTGACATCTGCCCCCTGGGCGGGTACCTAATGAGCGGAGACATTGTCCATTTGGGGAGACGAGGTAAAGTTAAAAGATTTCCGAGCTGACACCTGGCAGCCTCCATCGGTATTCCGGGCGAAACAGCAAGGGAAGGAAAACGGAGATGGGGGGCTGAAACCGGTCACCCCCAGGCTCCACAGGGGTGGGTCAGCTGGATGGGGACGGCGCTGGAATCTCAGCATCTCATCTACGCTGCCCAAATCTCCCCTATTTGTGATTTTCTGCCAGGTTAGAAGAGAAACTGGTGCTTTCTGGGAGGTGGGAGGGGTCTGGCAGGGTCCCATGTGGCCCCGTGCCGGATGAAAAGGCAGCAGCATGGCAGGGAGCACATTCCTGGGTCCAGCAGCATATCAGACTTGCTCTCGGCTGGGATCTGAGCCTGGGCTGCTGCGTCCCCACGGTCCCCACATCCTGGGAGTCGGATGGCACTGAGCAATGCCCCAGCACCCAGCATCACCCAGCAGCTCCCTCCCGCTGCTTCCACAAACCTAGTTCAGTCAGTCCCTATAAATCCAGCCTCCCTAAGCCCACTTGTCACCAGCTCTTTCCTAACTCACCTCCAGCCTCTTCGCTACCCATCACCTTCAACTGGTGCCTGGTGACAAGACGGGAGCGACAGAGCAGGAGAAGGGAGAGCCCTGTACTGCCCCTATTGCCTCCCAGTTTTCCCCCCTGGGAAAACCTGGCTCTGAAAGTACTTGTGAGCCAGCAAACACCCCCATTTCCCCCCACATCCCCAGCAGTGTGGGAAAATCCACACTGAAACGCTCTCCTCCCCACCCGCCTGCCTGCTTTCCCAAAGGCCAAATGGATTTAGAGGGAAATCATCTCCTTGGGACTCTCCTGGATGAAAGGGGATTTCCTGAAGCATCCTCAAGGCTTTCCACCAGCCTAAAAAGCAGCTTAAAAAACCCGCCATTCCTCCACATGGTTTTCATCAGCTCCAGCAACACTCTTGAGTTTAAACCCCATTCCAAGCAGGACTTTCACCTGCTCCAGGGATTTTTGCTCCTTTCCAACAGATATAGCCAGAAATGCCCAAAACAGGGTGCAACCCTTTCCCTGGGATGCCTGGGAGAGGAAACAGCAGCTGGGCTCTGGCTGCTCCTCCCTGGCACCCGCTGACCCGCTGGGTTCAAGCAGATGGAGCAGCTGCAAATCCCCCCCTAAGCCAGGGAAGGGACTAATCTCCTAGAGGACAAATCGGTTGGCGAGGGGGGGAAGCTTGACATTCCACCTTTTCCTCCCTCCTCAGGCAAAGGCAAACCCAGCAGGGGTCCCAGAGGGCTCCCAGCATCCCTGAGGGCAGAGGAGGCAGCGCTGGGGCTTTGGGTACTTGCTGGAGGCCTGGTTTGGGGACAAGCAGACACAGGTCCCAGCAAGCTAAGCCTTAGGTGCCCTATGCAGGGAGACACGGCAGCTGGTGTGTCCTTGAGGAAAACCACATCTGGTGAGCTCTTAAAACTTCCAAAGTGCTCCCCAGACACAAAAGGCTGAAGCTTCTTCAAGACTGAGAGGTCCTTGGTGGGCACAGGAAGCCGGAGAAGCAGCCAGCGGCAGGAGACAAACCACGCACAGAGGAATCCCTGGTCCTTCCTCACTGTTGGAGAAGGATTAGGTCCATTGGAGTGGGCTAGTTCAGATCCTCAGGATGGGACCTGGAGAACCAAACACGCTCCCTCTAAAAGGATTAGGAGTGATGTAACGTGCTGATATCACAGCACTTGTGTCAGCGCCGAGACCCACAGCAGATCCTACCAGGGACATCACCCACAGCCACGCTGACCCTGCGTCCTTCAGAAGAGTGTTTCTGCCCAGAAGACCCCAAAACAGAGGTCAGCCCAAGGACACACACCCTGGGCCTGCTCCTGGGGCCATCCACAAGCAGCCAACTCTCTCCACCTCATTTTCCTTCTGCACCAGAGGCCACGGAGAGCGAGGAGATCAGCAAATTTGGTGCCACCCCCTGTTCTTCTGGGCTGTGTTGTTTTATCCTTTCATCCTTTCTTTCTTCCCTTGCTTAAGGGCTGGAAAACTCCTCCTGCGTGCTCTCAAGGGATAAATGTCTCACCAGATATCATCAGCTCCACTCAGAAAACTCTGAGGTGGGAGAGCTGATGAGGACAGGCACGATAGCTCTCAGAAATGCTTGGAAGGAGAATGCTGCAACCCAGGGAAAGGATGGAGAACATACAGGCTGGGATGTGTGGCATCTGGGTATGGACTGCACCCTGGTTCTTGGATGGAGGAGCACAGATGGCCAGCAGAGCTTGGTGAAACCCTGGATGAGGTGTAACACCCCTCAGCATGGCACAGCATCACTCTGCCCCTTCCCTGGGGAACCACACCTCCCTGGCACATGCAAGGGAATGTCCTGGGAGAGAGAGAGTGAGCTATTGGTGTGTCCCTGGGGACCACGGCCACTCAAGCTGTGCGGTCAAAACAGGCAACTGAAGTGCCTCACTCATCCATCCCCATGTCCTCGAGGGGGAATTTTGGGAAAATCCCAAAATTTTCCTCAGGGATCCCCAGGAAAACACGTTTTCCAGGTGGGGAAACTGAGTCAAAGAGGAAACCCCCATGGAGAGGCTTGCCTGCCCCATGGAGACACACCATCACAGGGAAGGGCATTGTTTCCCAGATATTCTGGGGTCCCAAAACCATTGCCTTCATGTTATCAACCCAGTAAAAGCCTTTAAATAGGGAATCATTTCCTCATTTTAAGGAAATACAGAGGCACAGTGAGTGAGTATCTCTGAAGGTCTCTGGTCCAGCTCCTGCCCTGAGCAGGGTCACTCCAGAGATGGATTAGGTTGCCTGGCATGAAATAATTCCACCCTGAAACCTCAAAACTTCTTCCAAGCCCTCAGTTTTCTGCCTGCACAAAAGGGAGGAGACGTTCCCTGGATGCCCTCACCCACTGTCATCACCAAAAGTCCTCATTTTTATCCTTTTAGGAGCACAACAGGTAGCAGGGATCTCATCACAGATCATCCAGCTTCCCAACATCACTTGGATAAAAGGGGACTACCCCATGGTGGTGCCCACAGTGATTATGTCCCCATGCCCATGGTGATGTCCCCACGTCCCCTGTGCCCACAGTGTTGATGTCCCCATGCCCGTGATTGTGTCCCTGTGCCCATAGCAGTGTTCCCATGCCCCCCGTGCCCATGGTGGTGGTTTCCCCATGCCCACATTGATGGTATCCTCATGCCCATGGTGGCATCCCTGTGTCCCCTGTGCCCATGGTGGTGATGTACCCCTGCCCAGGGTGGTAACAGCTCCACGCCATGGCTGTATCTCCATGCCCACAGCAGTATCCCCGTGCCCCACAGACCATGGTAGCGACGTAGCCATGCCCACAGCAGTGTCCCCATGCCCACAGTGATGGTGTCCCCATGTCCCCATGCCCATGGAAATGCCCACAGTGACAATGTCCCCATGTTCCCATGCCCACAGAGATATCCCCGTGCCCACAAGCGATGATGTCCCCACGGTCATGGTGGTGTCCCCGTGCCCACAGCAGTGTCCCCATGTCCTCCATGATCATGGCAGTGGTGTCCCCATGCCCACAGTGATGGTGTCCCCGTGGCCATGGTGATGTCCCCATGCCCCCCATGTACACGGTGGTGATGTCCCCATGCCTACATTGATGTTCCTGCACCATGGTGGTGGTGTCCCCGTGCCCGTTGAGGTCACACACCACCCCTTGGCAGCACGGAGCCGGTCTGGAATGGCCTTGCCACCAGCCTGTGTGACCTGTGCCGGGGAGGAACATGCCACCATCACACAGGAGTCCCCTGGACAGCCGTGGACCCGTGGTGGGGCCATTCCTGCCTTCTTACCCCCGGAGTCAGTTCCCTGCGCAGCACAACGTGGAGGCACATCTGGCGGTGTTGGGAAGGTGGAGGTGCAGCTGGGCAGGTGGCTCTTTCCCTGGGGAATAAAGGGATGAGTCAGGCTGTTATGGGGCAAAAGCAGCCCCCAAACAATGTGACCTGATGCCCTAACAGCAGGTCCCTATCCCGGGGACACCCACAGAGGCGCTTCAGCATCGCCCAGCGCCCATGCTGGAGATGTCATCACCCCAATTCCCTAAGGATTCCCTAAGGACAAGCAGGTCCTAGATGAAGCTTTTCCCCACCCAGCTGACCAGAGCCCACTGGGGCACTTGGATTTTCAGGAAATCATCACCTTGTGCTGGGAAAGTGGGGACAAGAGAGTTTGCTCCTTGGTGGCAGGGATTCATGAGTCATCCTCCAGCCGCTGCCCTTGAAACAGAGCCAGAAAAGCTTTTACCCAAAGCAGCCAGCAATAGGATACCAGAGCTGGAGCTCCAGGATTAACCCTTTCCTAGGAGAAGCTGGCTGGCTGCCCTCCCTTGCAGATCCTTTCTCCTCCTCTGGTCAGCGATGAGTTTCCCCACTGTGTGCACCCATCAGGTTGGTGGATGTGATGCCAACACTCCCCTGGCAAGGTCGGGGAGAGGGGCGTGCCATGAGACCCCAGTGCTACTGCTGGACTAAATGGGGTTGGAAACACATGCCCCTCCTGGGGAATGGCATTTCTCTGCCACATGTCCCATCACAAAGCCTGCCCAGCAAACAGGACAATGTTTGGGGTTCACCAAAGGGAAAAAGCAACTAAAAAAAAAATAAGGTGGAAAATTTAAAGCACTTTGTTTTGCTGTTTTGGGGGGAAAGATCTCGATTCCTGCACTCCTGAGTCCTTGCTTCATTTAGGAACTTGCCAACTATCCATAGTTCTGATGGGATCCCCATTGATCAATCTGCCAAGTCTTGACAGGTTTTCCCCAAAATAGGGGGAACCAGCCTGCTGGAAAATCTCATATTCCCTCCTTGATAGAAAACAGGCGCCTGTGGAGGACGGGTGAGAATTTCTGTGTTACAAGGAGCATTTCTCCCTTGCAGTCAGACAGGGAGGTGCCAGCACCCACCTTTCCTGCCAGCCTGATGAAAATGGACCTATTTCTACAATGTGGAAAGGTGGGAGCCTCAACCCATGGCTGTGCCCGTGGGCATGAGCATCACTGAGCTGGGACAGGGTAGGAGGATGAAGGATGCTCCTTGCCCTGAGCTGGGAGTGAAGGTCCATCCAGGGACACCATGCATGCAGGGCTGGCTGCAGCAGCCCAACCTCCCTGTGCAGGGCCCCAAACAAGCCCAGGCTCTCCTGGGGCCATTGTAAGGAAAAGGGAAAGGTGCTGGGAGTTACACTGGTACCCACTAACCTGGGCTGGAGCCTCCTGCCACAGCCCCATGGATCCAGGGCTCTCCCCTGGGAGCCAAGCATCATTTGACCCACCCCAGCAGCCTGGCAGCAGTTTCAGCACCAACATGGACCTGCCCTGAACGTTTAAATCAAGCTCAGACAGGGATTTCCCTCTCGCATCTTCCCACAGGCCACTGTGGAATTGCTCCTAGAAAGCACGGATTAGGTCACAGAGATTTTTGGGTGCTTTCTTCACCTCCCACGGGGTTCTCCATCTCCACTCTGCTTCCTTACAGTCTGCACTGGGCGTTGCTATCCATCCCCTCCATCTGCAGGGATCGCTGTCCACCTCCCAGCCCACCCAAGACCCTGGGTGCAGTGTCTGGTGTATCTCCCACCAGGACAACCCTCTCCCTTGCTACTGCATCCCTCAGGACGCACAGATGCTCTCTCCTCTCACAAGGATGAAGAGCATGAACCATCTGCAGCTGGAGGCCTGGAAATCCCGGGACACCTGCCCCGTGCCACCTCCACCCCACACCCTGAGCACCGTGGGAGCCCCCGGGGCATCACGGTCCCGAGCTGCCCCACCTGTCCTGGGTTCTCTGGGCACAAGGCTGGGGGGATGCCCTGCAGCACAAGGCTCTGCAGCATTCCCGGGGGGCCACGCAGCATCCGCACAGGGTGGGGACACTCTGCAGCGCAGCCGATGCTGGAGGATGCTGCACAGGGCTGGGCTGCTGCAAGGATGGGGCAGCAAGGTCTCACTCAGACCCTGGGAGGACTCACTGGGAGGAGATGGGCAATAAATGCTGCCCCAGGATCAAGATCTGAATAAACTGACCCCTCGAGCCTGCTCCGTGTGGAATAGGGGTGATGAGGGGTGATGAGTCCAGTAGGGAGGGGCAGCAACCCCAGCCCAGGGCATCATGTGCTCCCTTGAGGCACACGCTGATGAACCAGCCCAGTGATCTAGTGGGTGGCATCCATGCCCATAGCAGGGGGGTTAGAATCAGATGGTCTTTAAGGTCCCTTCCAACCCAAACCACTTTGTGATTCCATGATTCTATGATGATCCTAATTTTGGAGGAAGGACACAAAGTCCTGGCTGGGGAAATGGGCTCCCAGGAGATGATTTGCCCAGCCACAGGGGAAGCTGGGAGGCCTGGGACCCCTTCCTCCCCCCGGCACTGCAAATACACCGGGGCTGTATTTGCACTGGTGGTGCTCGGTGACCAGCACGCCTGGAGCCTGGGCTCATAAATGACCACAGCCTGACACTAGTGGGACCCTGTGGATGCTCACACACGAAAACCAGTAGCCAGGGGTCAGAAACACCCACTAGACTGACACTGATGGGACCCCACGGGATGTTCCCTCCCAGAAGCCATGCAGTATCCCCGTCGTCACCCATCCCCATGCACACTTCTCCCTGCAGTGGCGAGTGGGGGTGTTTGGAAAGATGCTCCCCTTGGAGACCCCCACTTGTCCCCAAGTGGGGACAGCACTTCGGGCTTGTTTCGGCAGAGCCAGGGAGCATCCCAAAGCTGGGAGCCAGGGAATGAAAACTCCAAGCAGCCTCGAAGAGCCGCCCAGCCAGGGCGGTGGCAGCGCACGGGGGGAACCCCTGGGGAGGTGGGGACACGGGGGACTGGGTCGGTGGGTGCACGCCCTCCCGCTTCCCGGAGTGATGCCGCACCGGGAGCTGCCTCGTCCCGCTGCTCCCGCTACCACACTCATCCGCATCTCCGCGTGGGGGACCCTCCACCCCCGCTCCAGGTACCGGGGTGCCGGGGCAGCCCCTCTGGCACCGGCAGCTCCGTCCCGGAGAAGGAGAAGCCCTACCTGTGTCCGGACGGACCCACGGACGGGCGGACAGACGGAGGCAGGGCTGGGGCAGGGGTGGGGGAGCGGCAGGGGCGGCGGCAGCCGGAGACCGGCGGGTGCGCCCAGCCCGGCCCCCAGCCGTGCCCAGCCCCCCCGGCTCTGCCCGGCCCCCCGACTTCCTGCCCCTGCCCCGTCCCTTCCCTTCGCAGTCCTAGTCCCTGCCCCAGTCCTTCCCTTCTCCTGCTCCTGGTCCAGCCGCTTCCCCATCCCATGACTTTCCTTTCCAGCCCTTGCCCCAGACATTCCCTTCCCTGCATCAACCCTTCCCTCCGCCAGCCCCTGCCCCAGTCTCTGCTTCCTTCCCTTCCCGCCCCAGCTCCGACCGCAGCCCTTCTCTGACTCTGCCCCAGCCCAGCCTTTTCCTTCCCTGACTACCCCAGCCCTTGTCCCTGCCCCTAAGCCTACCCCAGGTACTGTCCTACCCCAGCTGTTGCCCCTGGCAGGTCCCAGCTCCTGCTCCTGCCGCATCCCACACCCCTGTCCCTATCCAAACTCCTGCTCCCGTCCCTTACCCAGTCCCTGACCTCCCCCTGTCCCTGCCCTTCTCTGGCCCAGCTCAGCCCCTGCTCCAGCCCCTGTCCATGTCCCAGACTCTGCTCAAGCCCCAGCCCCTTCCCCAGCACCAACACCAGCACCCTGTCCCAGCCCCTGCCCCAGCCCGTTTGTGCCCCTAAACCTGCTCCTCCCCAGCCCCTGCTCCTGCCCTAACCCCTTCACTGCCCTCCCCCTGCTACAGCCCCTGCTCTTGCCCCTAAACCTGCTCTGCTCTGTCCCTACCCAGCCCCTGCCCTGCCCTGGAATGGCTGTGTGGGGGTCCCAGGTGACCCTGCTTAGGGTAACTGCCCCAGGGCAGTGGCAGTGGCATTGCCCGGGTGCACAGCATCACTCTGGACCCCCACCCTGAGGTGTTCTTGCGCCCAGATCCTGCTGCGTATAAGTAAGGGACCTTACCCTGCCACCATCCTGGCGATCAGGGATGGAGACACAGATCCCACTTGCCCGGGAGAGGTACAGGGTGGGGACAGAGAGCTGTCGGACACGGGGTCTGGCCGTGGTCTGGCCACCCTCCCCGGGACCAGCTGGGGGGCTCAATGGGACTGGAAGCCTCTGGGCGGGAATATCGCAGGCTGGACCCCCCACAGCCTGGGCGGGGGCGGGGAGGGGCGTGTGGGTGGGTGGGTGTGGGTGTGTGTGTGTGCGCGCGTTACGGTCTCCGGACATCTGGGATCCTGCTGCCGCACTTCCAGGCGGGAACGTATAAATATTTCAGCGGTATAGCCGAGCCCTGTCAGGTTGCATTTGCTTCTGGCAGGGTGAGTGCTGGGAGAGGGGGAGGAAAGGCGGGGAGAGAAGATGCCCTTGGACGATGCTCTCTGAAGATGCGTCATCTCCCGGGAGATGGGGCACCAGCTCCGGGGCCCGATTCTCGAGGGCCGCCACCTCCGCTTGGCTCCCCTCTGCGGATGCTCTTCCCTTCGGGAAAATTGCAGGGCTGTAGTTCCTGATGGCCGGACTCACCCCATAAGCAAATCTTGGGGGCTGCTGCCAGGCTGGGCGGGGGGGGGGGGATGATGAGAAGATTCGAGAATTTCGCTTGGAGCACAGCAGGCAGCGGCGCGTTCAGGACTCTCTGGGATGTGGCACACCCCAGACTGCCCCCCGCCCCAAAAAAGAAAAAAAAGGGGGAGACAGAGATAAATCCAAGCAGCTCAGGGGAGTTAAATCAGTGGAGGGAGCCAAGGCGGGGTGGAGGGGGGGAAGGGGCGGCAGCGTCCTCCCGGGCCCCGCAGCCCAGAGGCCACAGTAGGTGGGCGGGGAGCTGACCCTGGCTGAGCGGAGCTGGAGAAGGGGGTGTCCTCCCCGCCCCGATACTTTCGGAGGCTGATTTGCCCCTATATCGGACACAGAAGCTCGGACGCGGAGTGAGCAAGACTCCTCCTTCGCTGCCAACTCCTCCCCTTCCTCCCGCCCGCTGCCCTGTGGAACTTGTAGTCCCCGCGCTGCCCCGCACATGGGGCACGACTACATTTCCCGAGGGCCCCCCCATATCCTCCTCCTCCTCTGCCGGGCTCGCTGTGAGTCCGGCCAGGGCAGCAGCGGGGAGCTTCGGGATCCCCGCGCCGCGGCCGGGGGGGTTCGGCCCGCAGCCCCCATGCCCGCCGCCCACCAGGTACGGGGGGCGCAGGGGGTGGGGGGTGCCCTCGGGGTACCCGCGGCTTCGGGAACGTGGATACCCCCGGAATGCTGGGGATGTGGGGTGCCCCCAGGGGAGCGCCCTGTTTCAGGGAGAGCCGGTGCCGCGCACCCCCCGCCCCCCCAACACCCTCCTCTACCACGTGCCCCCCAAACCACCCCGCAGCGCCCGTCCCTCGGGTGCTGGGGCCGGGAGGGGAGGGTGTGTTTCGGGGAGTTTCCCACCCCTTGCTTTAGGGAAGGTGCTCCAGGGACTCGCGCACCCCAGTTCTGCTTGGCAACTCCCCACAAAACGCATCGTGTTTTGGCAGCTTCGCTTCTGTGCCACCGACGCGCGGCTGGGGGAGAGCATCCCTCGGCCTCCTCAGGGCTGCCCCCTCTGGGCTGTGGTGCCCGTGGCTCCGCGGGAAGCTGAGCCGGAGCTCAGCGACCCACGTCGCCCGTGGCCCACGTTGACAACGGCATAGCGTGACAGTGATCCGTGACAGTGATCTGTGCCAAGGTCACACTGCGATAACCTGGCAGTAACCAGGTTCACACAGTGATAGCGGCCCGGGCTCTGCTCGTCTCCCTCCCCTTTCTTCCCCTTCTCCCCCGTGCTCCCTCTCCCACTTCCTCTTCTCTCCTCTCCCTGGCTTGCACCAGGGATGAAGGATGGAGCATTCCCTGGGACTCAAACCCACTCACTTTGAGCAGGGCAGCTCCATGGATATTCTCTAGAGGTGGAATAGAATCCAGCCAGATGGATTCTGGACTGTGGGGACACACCTGCTGGGAGTTAGGAGCCAGTCCTCCTGGCACTGGAGCAGCTTCACGGGGCTGCATCCTGGGTTTAGTGCAGTTGGTTTCCTTTGGGCCAGCGATGAATGTGTGTATCCATCCTGGATGGACATGACAGGAAATGGGGCACAGAGGGTGGCAAACATCCCATTGGGGTCCAGGCACATGTGGCAGGGGCCAACCCACAGCAAGTGGCTGCTGCAGGTAACATCCACAGCCCAGCCTGAGGACAAGCAGGTGATGGGGCAGAGTCCAGGCATGGACTGGCAGTGAGCCACAGCATGAACCTTGCTCCTGTGCCGTGGATTGGCACACGTGGAATTTTATGACATGAAAAGTACTGTCAGTGACCTGTTCTGGGAGTGGGGAGCACCCAGTCCAGGCCTTCTCCAGTCGCTTCCCTCATCCCGTGACTGCTAATCAGGTCTCCTGGCACTGCCAGATTTCCTGCGGCCAAACCTCAGGAATTGAGCTTTTAATCCTTCTCTGGACCGTGAATCTTGTGGCCATTTTGCATTTTCCCCAGGCTGGGCATCGTGTTCGCCGGGAAGAGCCAAGGGGCAGCCGCTTGCCTGTGGCTCAGCTAAAGTCCTGCCAACTACCCAGCTACTGTATAACACAGCGGCCCCGTGCCCAGTGTGCACATTAACTCGCTTCCACAACCGGCACAGTCCCGGTGGTTGCTGCCATTTCCCTCCGGAGCATCCCCGACACAGAGTATTTGCATCCCCCTGGGTCTGCAGCTCAGAGGGAAGCATTGCTTAAGGAAGCTCTAAAACCCTCCTGACTCTTAAAAGGGAGGAAAAGGAGGTGCTAGGATCTGAGGATGCCCCACTGTGGATCCAGGTGCTTCGTGCATCCAGGCTCCGGATGCATGTGATTTACAAATGCCGCTGAAATGACCCCCCTGCCTTTGCACAGCGAGACGCACGGCTGCTTTTCTTCTTCCCAGAACACCTCCTGCGGAGAAGGTAGTGGTATTTATTTGCCTTGCGATCCTGGAGGAATTTTGAGCCCCTGCCAAATGCTGCTTTTTCCCCAGAAACTGCAGTGCCGTGGTTTTCCATGCATTCAAGAGCGCCTGCAGACAGAGAGGGGCCGCCTGGTCCGGCAAAGCCCGTGTAGCTGATGGCTCCCAGGATAACGCTGCTGTCCTGCTGCAGAGCCATGCCCAAGAAGGATGATGGTGCCAAAAAGCCGGCATCAGAGACGGTGCCGGACCAGCGCTGGAAGCTACAAGTCTTCTACCTCTGCTTCTATGGCTTCATGACGCAGATCCGGCCCGGGGAGAGCTTCATCACCCCTTATCTCCTGGGGCCCCCCCGGAACTTCACCAAGGCAGAGGTGAGCCATTGGTACCCTGTCCCCCTCCCTGGTGTCCCCCTTTCCAGCCACTGTCACCACCCTGGGGCTGCCCAGAGCATCCCTCTGTGGTTCTGGGGGGCGTGGGGGGTGTCGTGTGCCAGGCACAGGGGTGTGTGGTGACTCGTGGTGGTGCTTTCTGGGGGGAGAAGGTGGTGAGGGGTGGGTCCCTGTCTCACTTGGCTGTGAGGTCACCCTGTCTCCTAAGTCCCAGGCTCAACTTGCCGTGGCATAAGACCTCGTGCCCAGGCTAGCAACTGATCGGGGTGAGGCTTTATCCCTGCCCACCTGGGCAGCCTGTTAGATGGCAGGGGGTTGCGGGCTGGGAGAAGCCCCACCCCATCCCGCTGGGGAGACCTTTCCATGCTGGCACTGTGCACCGATGGGCTGCTGGCAATGATGGGGTTAGACAAGGAGGGGCCACATGTCATCGTCCCTCGACCAAGGGATGCTGGCCTCGATCCCAGCCAGCTGCTGTGTCTGTGGGAACGCTGCGTCCTGGCGCAGGAGGGGGCTGAGGCTCAGCCAGACCCCCAGCCGAGCACACTGCTGGTCACATTCCTCCCCAAGGAGGTGCTGCGATGGAGGTCAGGAGCTGGTGCCCACACAACCCACATTCCTCCAGGCTGGGGGGCAACTCCAGGGATGTATCCAGTGCTGAGCCCCTCCTTGCCCACATGGCAGGTGACCAACATGATCACGCCGGTGCTGTCCTACTCATATATGGCTGTGCTGGTGC